TGCTTCAGAAAATTCTCTGAACTCTTCTCAAAGAAATATGGAAATTCCCCAGGGAACACCACACACTGCATTTATACCCTAAAGCATCAGGACTYTATGTATGAAAGCTCTGAAGTAATTAAAAATCTTCATTATATCCCTTCATTTAACTTCAAATCACACTTGATACAAGTTTAAAGATACTGTCATGATTACCAATATTGTAGATTATTCTTAAAGAGTTAAATATTTCAACTGGCCACTCAAGAAATGATTTAGACTACAAGTCAAAAGAACTAACATCAAACATCTGAGCACCTCAGTCAATAGTGAACCACAGTGTGACACAGTGAATGCCTTACCAAATTCTGTTAAACACACAGCASTTTATTCCCTGGATTAATAAAGTAAAAAGGCAGCCATTTTCCTCTAGATTGCTCTGTGGACAGAAAACAGCAAAGGCACAAGCAGGAAAAGTATTATCTTGATCTGCTTACAAAAGCAGAAGGCATTACTGTCACTTTTACTGCACTTAATACTTATTTTTAGAACACGCTTGCTCTGCCTCAAATTAAATCATAAAACCACTTTCAAAAGGCAGTGGAAATTAAGGGGGGGAAAAAATCACAAGTTATGAGATTATGACTCAAACATGTTATTACTGCACAATTTATTTCAAGTTACTTCTACAGGATACTCAATGATACATTTTATTGAAATTCTAATCTGAAGACCGCTTTGAAAATTATTATTTTCTCTTTCAAAGACTCAAAAAAATATAGTTTGATCCTCCCCCTACACAACCATGGTTTGAGCTGCAATTATTTAATATTTTTAATGGTCTCAGTTCTTTTCCTTTAAGAATTTGCCTTCCCCCTTTYTAAGCTTAGTTGATCTGCCTAATGATGGATTTAACAAAGCAGGACATAKAAATCTAGTCATGAAAACCTGTTTCTTAATCAAAGACAAAGCCATTGCAAATAAAAAAACAACAGTTCTGGAGATGCTAAAACATTTCAGATTCTAAAACACAAAAAAATTTACCACATTAGCCCTTTAAAATACTCAAAAGATTAATTTTTTTTCCCCACTGAGCATTACAGCTTCTGATATCACAACAGCTTCCACAGAAAACAGATGTGGGAGCAACTTGAGCGTATTTGGAAGTTTTAGACACAGTTTATCTTGAAGGTTAACCTCGGATTTCCCAGAAAAACTGGGAAAGCTACTGAAGGGTGATTGCTTGCCTTGTTAGGTGAAATCCTCAGCTACAGCTACCAGAGAATTCTAGGAATAACAATAAATATGCAGTAACCCTTCCATCCATTRCTGTCATCTTAAAACTACAAGGTTTATGCACATACTAACAGAAGCAACCTTTAAACAACAAAATCTGTCAAGTTCTTAACACCACAGCTCACCTCAATCATAAATTAGTAGGTGTTTCATGTTTACACACAACAAAAGCAAAGCAGCTTCCAACTGTGAAGCCTGGTTTCAGAAGCTGTCAGTAGCAACAGATGCTGACAAAATCATTACCAGAAAAGAGGAAAAGTATCTTGATCTTTAGAAAGAGACCAACTGGATCACTTGCTTAAGAGTTCAAACAAATTTAGAATTACTACTGTGCCTTTATTTCTTAAGACGTATATGTATGCAGACTATAAGGCCAGAGCTCAGGGTTTTCTCATCCAGGGACCTAAATAAATTAGATGGAAATTCTTGCTAAAAGGCTTACCTGACTAATCTCCCAGGCAGTGTAAGGGCCTTCYCATTCACGTGTATTGCAAGCAATTMCAGATGCTTATTAATAGAAGACATTTCTCTTTGCCTGTTGTTAGACACAGAACTGGATAGCCACACTAAGTGTGCCAGCATTTGACTCAGTCACCTCATGTCTACAAACATCAGTTATCCCAAATGTCAGCTAAAGGGCTTCCTTCAGCAGCAGGGTATGAAATTCCTTTACCCTATTTGTCAGATAGACCAGAAGGTTTTATTGATAGAAGCTGCAAGGGAACCAATGCCCTGTTTTTTAATACAGTTTTCAGAATTGTCCTTAAGTGGACAATTTGGCATCTTGTCAAGACTCCAAAGGGGACAGCACCAGAGAACCTGACATCCTGAACATCACCACCTGCTCTTACACACTGCTTTGGTTAATATGTTTGACTTGAGCACTTCTTACAATGAAAACTGCTCCTATCATTACATTTGCCAAAATTAATGATTTGACATTAAAGACTGCAAAATAACTTGAGGGCAGGAAACACTCTGAGAAAGCTTTCATTGCAAATAAGCCACTATAAATCAGTAAACTGAGCAGGCAAAAAATGGTAGGGAGAGATATACAGCAACTCAAACCACATGCCCTGTTCAGGACTCTTTTGTTCTGCATTGAAGAAGCTTAATTAGGCCAGTGTCATCACTGAAGTCTGTCAGCTTCCTTTTCTAGTCAGTGTAAAGAACCATCTTGCTTTTTGTATATTTTTTTTTACTTTAAAGCATTTCAGCTTAAAGAGCAGCCCTAAATATTAGTGGAATAAACTGACATATTTTAAGCCTTTGAAACCATTTATCCTTATCTCAACCCAAGCACCACTTAATGCAAGTCAGACGCAGCAGAGTTTAAGAAAAAAGACTGAAAAAATGTTATGTTCACGTCATTGAGGCATTCGGTGAGATTTCACAGAATCACACCTGCATACGTGATGTAATTTCTACTATTATTCTTTGTACTCAGGTTTTTTCAGTGGTGGTTCATTCTGCCTCCCTCTTAGAGCTGCAGTGGTGGTGTGAGTACCTTGTTTACATGGGATAAACACCACTAAAACATTGCTTCCCAGAAGAGCAGCAAACTCAGAGAACACTTGGATGCAGCACAYTGCAGTCATGAGGGGCAGCCAGCTTTACTTCCAGCTGTTTATCCCCAACAGCTTCGACTGACTCAAAAGAAACAAAGCAACCAAAACCCCCTAAAAAAAYCCCAATGGCTGTATGGATACTAAATCAACTTAGAAGTACACAGCTAGGTAGTTCAAAGAAASGATTTGTTATACCATCGTGTATCAGTCACACATTTTTCTGTATTATTTCTCAATATACCAGAACTAGTAGTTTCCTAATCTACTGCTAAAAATAAGTACAGTTCTGTGAAGATTAGGAGTGAGGAAAAAATTCCTTTTCAAACTCCTACTCCCCATTCATACACTCTCTAATATTTAGCTAACAGGAATTAAACAGATAAAAGAAGTTTAAATAGCTTTGCAATAACTACGAGGAAACTAATTTCACAGTTGCATGGGGGAAATGCATCCTTGCAGTACAATGGTTTCAGTACCGTGCGAATTTTCTTACCTGTGAACACCACARAACACGCCATGTTCAGCTCATGCAGAATTTCCAGAGGGAAAGAGTATTTGCTGGATGTTAGCAGAGCAAGTAACCTCACTGCCCCAGCTAATCTACGGACATCCTCTCCTTTCTAATCCGCAGAAACCTAACCTTAGAACTACTCATTACCAGGGAGAAGAGAACAAATCCCCTTAACCCTTTTCTTGCATTAAAAAAAAACTACTTTACATTGTCTCTCACYTAAATAGTTTCTTATTCTCATCAATCTTCCCAGTCAACAGGGCCCTCATCACTTGGGTTCTGTCTGCAGCTACTGTCCCTGTGATTGCAGTGGGAATCGGTAACACCGGAGTGTTGATCTCCTGTTGCTGGTTACAGGATTTCTGCTGCAGCACAAGAAATAGCTGGCTTTCCATTTAAGGGAAATAAGAAAAAAAAAAAGAAAAGGGAAAAAAGTAATTACCCTGRAGCAATCCAGCTGGAAAGGTCCTGCAGGTTAACTCATTTCTTTGTTAGCTACAGCAATACACAAATCAAAGCTGGTCTGTACTGATTTCCTAATGCATCACATCAACTGTAAAGTGSAATCTGTGTCAGAAGCACATTTAATCCTGGGATTCTCTTCAGCTAATAATTGMGCTATGTATCAGAAAGACCAAAAATAATCCAGCCCAGACTGTCTGCTTCCCTTAATCGGCCAAGCTAAATTCATATGTGATATCATTACTTTTTCTAAAGGGTTGAGTGCACATATACATACCTCTGTTTGTATTTATATATATAAAGGCAGATGTGTTCTTTGGTTTTTGTAGTTCTCAGCTTTGTACCATTCACTGTAAATGAAGTTCCACCTTTAAAATTGCTACACATTTCTAGATAGACCTTGTTCTTGAAAAGCGAGATGATTATGGAAGAACTTCCCATCTCTAGCTATATTTTTAGTTTAATGCACAGAATCAGTGTAGGATTTGGGTCATATGAAACAAAGCTTAATATTAAAATCCTTTCTTCTGTAATATCCAAATACAAATACTAATATAAAACAGTTACAGGAAAAAAAAAAACCAATCCCAAATCTGTTTTTCATGGTTACACTCCCACAAAAGGCAAAATAAATCCTGAATTCCAATCTTTTGCAGATTATTGCCATTGATTTACTCAGCTGTTCAGCACAGCCACTTTTCAGAAGGCAGTTCTGTTCCTACAGGCCTCAGTTAATTTTTTCATTTTTTTACATTGAGCTCCAAGAGGTGATTGCATGGAAAGGCTGCACCCAGTGCAAGATGCAGTGTTTGAATTGTGCCTCATCCTTCATCATGCTTTTCACCCTTAGCTGTGTGTCTTCCCACCCTCTCAARGTAGCTTTTTATAGCTTCCCTGCAGTGGGAAGGCCTTGGCATCAGTGCCAGGAGCTCACCTCTGGGGCAGCTGCTATGCTTGCTGAGTGCTGCTTCCTGAAAAGTGGCCAGACACCCCGTACTGCTGAGGCGGGGAGTGATAGAGAAGCTTGGTKGGCACATGGTGTTTGCCAAGGCCAACCCACCATATCTGTTCAAGAGCACCCTCYACCCTTACTCACCTCCTACCACAAAGGCTTCCAAAGAAAGCACTTKTCCTCAGGGTAATCAAACTGAACACTGCACAGCATTTCATTCAGTGCCAAAATCTGAAGTGGTCAGTGCCTTTTATTTATTTCATAAACAGAACAGTAAATGCCTGTATATTTACAATTCTAATAAACAAGAAGTCCATAACAGTGTGATTACTTCCACAACAGCACATGAATACTGCATTCAGCAATGCTGTTCAACACAGATGCCCCAAAACCTTTACAGCCAAACACACTACAGGTACCCATTATAAATACTAACATATTTCTATTTTCTTAAATAAACAAACATACAGCTTAATTCAGGAAGACCAAATGGTTCTCTGGTGCAATTCATTCCCTTTATACGTTTCTGTTGACAAACCAGGAATAATAAAAGCAAACCCACTGCTTTGGAAGCCATGCGGTTCAGACTTTCACATGTGTTCTATGTAGATATCATGCCTTTGTGCAGCATGGKTAATTTCAAAGGAGTAAATAATCTTTCTTTTAGAATAGGAAAGCATTTCTTCTTGGTAAGTATTTGACAAACCAAGTCTTTAACTTCATTACCACTTCCCAGGAAGCCTCTGGCTGCAGTTTTCATATCTTAGAACAGAAAGTTCAGAAGAAACTGAATATTTTTATCTGCAGAAGCAGATCTATAACCAARTATTTTCTATGGGCCATTTCAGAGAAGAAGTAGTTTTCAGTGAAGTTCCACTGAGTAGATTTTCCCACAGAGACAGGTCGTAAATGATGGTCTAGGTAAGTTTTTCATGTTGAATCTGGTAGTAACATGCCTGAATTAAAACAAAGTTCAGATTAGCCCAAGTGCCAGTTCATAGCAAAGCACCACACACAAAAAGGTTGATTTTTTTCATACAAGAAAACAGGGCTAGGCTCTCTGCAAGCAGTGATGCTACAATGGCTCTCAACACATGAGAGCCTCCTGATACGTAAGCTAGCAAAAGGAATAACAGGAGACTAAGACACAAATTACACCCAACTCCTAACAAAGAAAGAGAGCATGAGCTGGGACTCTAAGTATTTACACAGCTCCCAGCTATGCCAAGATGAAAGTACATTTTTGCTCACAAGTCTCTCTTTGCCCTTTGGCAGATGGACCAAAAAGAAGAAAACATTTTTTACAGGACAAGTATGCAGAGACGAAGCATTTCAAAGGCACTCAGACTGAAAAGTAAAGATTTCTATTCTCCTGACCTGCTGCTGACAGCTATTCACTCCTTAATGCTGGTTCAAATACTCAATGGGTCAGCCAGGATCAGAAACTTAACACAAATATCTGAGACAACACTTGCAATCATGGTAAATTAGATTCTACTTCTGCTTCCACTATGCAGATTCTTTAGTAAATTTGAACCAATACAAACCTTCCCTTTTTGTAGCACTATAAAAATAGTAGGTCTAAAAACCCCAGACCTCCGGACCCAAATATTTTGAGTTTGCACAGACAGAAAATACAATCATCTAACAGTACAGTTTAGGATTTTTATTTAAGATTCAGATTAACAACCTCCCTCCAAAACACCATCACAAAAAGGCTCCACACAGCTGAATTGTCCCAATGTCCACTTGATGAACGCAGTTTTGAGGTACCAAAACAACATATTTTCATTATGAATGTGTTAGTGTACAACAGGATATTCTTCGAAACACATTATCTTCCTTTTCTCATACTTAAAAAGATAAGAGCACTTAATAAAATGTGGAAAGTGACAGAGCAATTATTTTCCCACCTAAAACCGCATTTCTGGAAAGCACTGAWATAATGTTAAACTCTAATGAAATGGCTAGTCTCTAAGCAAGCACTTAATTTCAATTTCTATTAGGAGAATAAGGCTTGTTAAGTTGCAGGGCAATGACGAGCTCTAGGTGAGCATTTAGAACAGTTCAATTGCAACAAATATTACATCTGAATAAAGTATATTTGCACATTGCACCATTATTCTTAGCAGTACGTGCAATTATGAAGTTATCCAAAGCTCTACATTAAATTTCCTTGCCTATCCAAGTAAAAAATTTCAATTAAAAAAGTTGAAGAAGTTATGGCCTAATGTTCATACAATTGTCCTAAACTGGTCCTCATTGCTAAAAGCTGACTATGTCCAAAGGAAGTYTTTAAAAACTCTGAATAATTTTCATACCTTCAAGGTAGTGAACATGATGCCTTGCTCCCCGTGCTGGAGATARGGATCCATCAGGTCTTCAATTAAGTGCACCTCAGACCCCAAATTCCTTATCCTGTCACATGTAAGAGTAGGAAAGWGAACATGTGAGCAGAAGTTGGCAGTATCATGTTTCTTCATTCTGAATTCAGAGCCTTTCCACAGTAAACTGTTTGAGATATATTCAGGCCAAAGCAAACAGTCAAACTGGGAAATTTATAGACACAAAAAGCCAGTAACTGATCCTGTAACAAGCAGCAGGAGTGTTTAACACAGAAGTATTTGTACTGCCCAAGCTCAGCTTATGACTTATGTCACACTTAGTGCCTACCTGGCTCGTAGCACCACATAGAGRAAAACAGGAAATAAGTCATCCATGGACCACAGAAAATCTTCCTGAAGGGTCTCAAGCACACTCTGGGAGATCTCTTCAAAAGTCTGCTGGATCACCTTCAACTTGTCAGCTGGGGTAAATGTGGTACTATTTGGAGAGCAAAAGCAAAACAGGGTAACAATAAGCAGTTAGAAATCTGCATCTGAATTAGGAAGGCAGTTTGGGGCCAGCACAGYCCCCCGTGTCCAGGGAGGTAAGTCAGACATTCACCCCCCAACAGCCATGGCTGCCAAGGCTGCACACTACCCAGGTTACAACTACCACATTAAGCCACAATACTGCAAGTGAGACTCTCTTCACAGTTTTATGGTGTTTTAATGTAGTGGTACAAGGGAAAAATTACTTTCTAAAATATTTTTAATTTCCTCTTAAATTCTTGCATAACAGGCACAGAAAAGCCTCCCATGCACAGGTCACTTTACCACATCTGTTTTATGAGGCAACGCTTCATTCCCCAGGAGAAATTGCATTTTTACTCAGAACTGGAAAATGTCTTAGTGACTTCTCTTATAAAGGTTAACAAAAAAGAATGACATGTAAAGGATCCCAGTCAAGTAAACTAGAGATTATTTGCAAGAACAAATAAAAGAACAGTAAAACAAGAACAGACAAGAACAGTAAAACACTTAMAGACAAATTGTAAAGAATTACCTGATTTGCTGTAAACATTCAACAGCAGAGGCAAAGCAGTAGTCTTTTGTAGTTGACGATACCTGTGTAATCATGATAAGATTTATCAGGCAGGTTTAGCACTCCCATGGTTCAGTTTTGAGCCTCTTTTAACTAGATAATGATTAAGAATATAAACTATACAATTTTTCTGATCAGAAAGGATGTAATGACATAACTCTTAATTAAGCAGCTTGAAAATTTTCTTGCTAGACCTTTTTTTCTCACACATCATAATTGGAGACCAAGCAAAGGTCTCTTGAATTCATTATTAATTCAGATAGCAAGTGACAAAGCTGGACTGATGGCCAGTGCAAGAAATCCCAGAACTGGGACTGGAAGGGACCTCTGGAGATCACTTAGTCCAATACCCTTGCTAAATCATTAATGTARCTTTTAAGTAGTAGGCAAACTGTAAAGAAATAGAATAACATAGCATTTCTTTAGCAAAAAGCCTGGTCAAAAATACTTCGATCACTTCTTGATGATTTCAGCTTMTTGAAAGAAGCACTGGGCAAAACATACTTTAAATCAAGGCCAAACAAACATACCTTTCTACTCTCTCCAAAGATTGATACAGTTCCTGGCCAAAATTTCCTGCAAAAAACCCAACATAGTCTCMTGAGAAAACACAATCTTAAACTATTTGTTGCATTACAAAAATGAAGTCATCACATTCTGAGACACAACAGCCCTTCCAACAGGATCAACTACATCTTGCACAAGTACCCAGAATACCACCTAATTTGAAATGTCTTGCTCTGGTTTTGTAGCAATGCCGATCTTTACCTCCTTCCCATTCCTTCCACCTTCCCTTTTTGGAAGAGGGAAGGTTTGATTCACTCTCTCAMCCCTTCTAATTAGCCTGAAGACATATTTAGATCCATTTTAATCAAAGAAAATACTTTAGACAGTTGGGACTTTGTTTATTTGCTTTATCTAATTACATGCCAATATCTTTTTCTAGTCTGTGTTTTATTGTTGTGCATACTCACGCTTGCACTCCAAGAAAACTGAGAAGAGCCARATCAGTTTGTTTGTTTAGACGTAAAACACATTCCCAGTAAATGTCCTCCTCACGCTCGTTGTCCAAGGCATACAACATAAACAGAGGAGGATAGAGGCGTGGCAGTAACACAGGGAGCAGCAAGCCAAAACTGGTTACCACATAGCTGCAACAAAAATGTAGAGGGGGTGGTTTACAGAGGAAGACATTAAAAATCTAGTTATCTATAAAAATTGAATTTAAATCAATGGAAAAAATCTTTCATGCAGCACAAACCTATTCTATGAGAGATAAGAGTACAAAAATAAGCACAAATCCATCAAACAGCAGCTCTGGTAAGAAAAGCTTATAAACTGCCTCCAGGGCTCTTATCCCAAAAAGGGCTCTGAAGATCAGGCCCATGCCCCAACTTGCTTACCCATAACAGACAAAAGCAAATTTTGCTTTAAGTAAAGAACCATTGCATGGAACAAGGATGAAATGCTTATTACAACCATAACATGCAAGTTTGCTTGTTAGAACCCATCATCAGAACCAAAGGGAAAAAACCCACTGCTTATAGCCATCAGTTGAACATGTATTTATCTTTTTTCTCTCACCCAAGAAAAAAAAAAATTACACCAAATAAAATAAAGGCTCTGTTAGTTTTYGTTTATTTGTTTTTCCTTTATGTACCCTGGCTCAGGAGATTCTGATTCGGAATCAGATTTCCCACTGCAAAATGATCGCCTTCCTTTTGTCTCCATTGCCCCAAATGGAATTGTGCTGCCCTCTTCTGGGAGATCAGGAAACAAGAACCTAAACAGCAATATACATAACARTATTTGAGGTCATTTCAACAAGTTTCCACAAATTCAAAGCACTAAGGTAAGGCTGGAGAGAAAAAGTCAGCAGAAATAATATATAGTGGGCTAAGACTGCACTGCTAACACACATGCTCTCTGGAAGAAAACTTAGGAAGGCCARCCCCTCCAATGCCAAAGATACCTTTCCTACATTAATATCACTTCCCTCTAGACAAGGCTTCTAATTGTTATCAGTTGGGAGTATTTCTGCTTTCAGATTGGCAGGACRCAATTAAAGCTGTAATTATTCTCAAGAATCTAAGCAAGCCCTTCATAAGAAGATTGTTCATCCATGCTGGGAAGAACTTTAATGCCATATTGATAAGAACTTCATGGAATACACTCCATCCTCACAAGTCTTCTAYACCCTTTGAACACTGTTCTTGCACAGCACCGATATGCAGACACTAAATTGTAAATCCATATTCCAGATGAGCTTCTTACAGCCACATTTTGAAGGACAATATAGGATTACACTACATGTGAAGAGTTTAATTTTTCCATTTTTGACAAAATGAATTCAAGCCTCCTTAAAAAGATTAAGAAAATACAAGCAACTCCCAAAATTAAGTAACAATGCCAGCACCTCTAAACTGTACAACACTAGACAGCTTCCATACATGAGACAGCTTTAATGAACTCAGCAGTAGTTTGACTTGAAGATCAGTCTGGTTACCTGACCAGCTGGAAGATGCGCTTGAGGTAGGACTTGATCTCTCTTACAGCCTCCTGCAGTAATCGTCGGTTTGCTCCTACTCCAACATAGGTCATTCTGTACACAGCTACCAGGGTTTCCACCAACTTGCCCAGGGGATGGAGAGGAGTATCACAAGCCTGAGACAAAGGATATTAATTGGCCAGTCAGCRAGGTCAATGGCAGACAAGTTAAAGGGAAAAAAATGGAATTCAAGAGACATGGGTCAGAGATCCAACAACAGGCTTTCAAAAAATATTACAAATATCTCAAAAATKAGCTATATTTAACAAATTGGATTATAACATTTGGATTATAATATTTGTGTGTCAGCTGAACACAACTCATAGSAGTCAAGACCATACAGGAGCTTGTGCTACTACTTGACCTAGTCATCTGTCCAGTACTCTTAAATTGACCATGCAATTATTAGCAAGTATTTCAAGATGCTTTTCTGGGATCCAGTGTATAAAAATGAAAACAGTAACTGAAGAGAAACTGACTTTAAGAGAACATTCATTAGGTATTCAATGATCTTAGTCTTAGTTGCAGACTTCAATAAATTAAGAACTGATGAGCAAACATAAACTATGAATTCGAAGAGTGCAAATATGGAAGTAATTAAGGAAAGCTATAACAAAATGAGCTTGATGTCATACCTTACCATGCCCTACTATGCAAACGTTTCAGTCACAATACCTTTATCAAATATTTTTTTATATTTTCATATTTTTCCAGGGTGAAGGCACCAACGTGTTGTGGAATGAACTCCAAACTTTCCAGTGTCTGAGTATGTGAACGGCTCAATAATTCCGGGCTGCAATTTAAAAACATGAAGACATTGTTCAGATCGAAACATACAATAGGGRAAAAAACCAAACAAACCTGCCATTAACAAGTGAACTGGTTCTAAACATCAGTATGTCCCTGAAAAGCTTTGTAGTGCAGAATAGTAAGGTTATGATTGTACTTGAGATTTGCTGTGGTTTTAACTAGACCTTTACAGTCTAGTTAGTTTTTACTCTAGAGCAGAGAGCAATTCCTGCTCCCATCTCCACCCCTGTTTCYRTTTCYSATACATTCTTGAGGATCCAACCTGTCTTTGTGCTGCCGCCGGTTGGTGGTCAGAGCCACCGCAATGTTGTCCCAAGCCTTCCATCTGTCCCCCTGGCCAGGGCTTTCACAACCAAGCTGGTTCCAGCATTCTTCAAATACTGCCTTCCATTTCTCATCAGGAGACACTGCCAGATTTCCAAGTTTCCACCTAATAAAATGACCAGCGGGTCTCTTAAAATCAAGTAGCAACAAAACAACACATTCAGCTTGAAAGCCACTCATGGCTAATGTCAATCTAATCTCTCATACTATTTTACCAAAAAGCTGATATACTGAACAGTCTCTACTGTGAACCCAGTTTTATCACTAGGAACAAAGCTAGAGCCTACAATCTACACCTATGAGAGAACAGCTATGAACCTTATTAGCTTTACTCTGTCTTGCAGCCCCAGGAAATGGTTTGCTTAAACACAACAAAGGAGCCGTGCTTATCACCACCACTAGTAGTGATTTAGATGTCTCAGGACACATTCTGTGACACATTCACAGGATGCAGTGCACAAGTAACTCCCAAATACCTCACTATCCTGGAGTGTGCATCTAGCATAGCTACTCTTGTACCAAGGATGGGTACATAGCTTCTGACTGTAAAGTAGTATCTACAGACAATCTTGCATGACATGTTAGGGATGTGCTGAGAGCAAAACCATCTCAGGCATCTTTTTACTGAAGACAATGGTCAGTGATCAACTATAGCCAGAAGAAAATAAGGAGCTCTTCTTCCCATATATATAGATAGATAGAGATATCTTAGACATACAAAGAAATTTAGCGCTTTGAAAAGCTATCTCGAAACAAATAATTGCTGTCAGYGTTAACAGTTCTATCTTGATTTAAATCAAGTGTCAGAAATTGTCAGACCTTTCATTAATATTTCTTCCAGCACATTTGAGATGAGAACTAGCAACACAGTATTTCCCCATGCTGCCAGTTTCACAAAGCAGAGAAAGTAGGCTCTAAGCCTCTTCAGAAATTATACCAGAAGATTTTCAACTTCAAGACAGTCTGAAAAGGGTAGATGAAACCCTTACTTCACAAGCAGCCYCAAAAATATGTACATACATTTATTCATACACTCCCTACTGGGGTAAAAAACAGACAGCTGCRAGGGCTGCAAGTGTTCAGCTCAGCAGGGAAGCCCTGCTTAACTTGCAGGCTGTTGTAGGTGTCAGCACTGTCAAAAGAAATTACCAGTGAAAGCTTCAGAAAGCCCACCAAGAAGTAATCTATGTAAAAATATTAGAGCCATGTTTCCCATTTGAATCTAAAATTTGAGAGCACACTTCCAAGATACTGAATCCCATACATCAATTGCTAAACCAGTACATGGTGCTACCAAATACCAGCATCTCACCATCAATTCTTTAAATTTGCTTAGGTTTCTTCTACTCAAAGATAGATCAGTTATAACTTGAAACATTTTTTTTCCCCCAGAAATAATTAAGCAAATTTCCCTAATGCACCTGTTATACAGAAGGGTTTATGGATACTTTTCAAAGTCATCTTTGCCAAGGTGTTAAAATGCTCTTTTGCAATTCGGGAGCTTTCTGGTTTCTTACACATTGTTTGGAAGACATGTAGCATCGAGTSAATTCTGTCCAAATATCTCCCCACTAGCATTATTAAATGACACACTTAATGATTTAAGTTGCTGACAAAGCAACTGTCAGATGGCAGAGAGGTGTGTGATTAACTTAACTGCTCTAATGTAACTTAGTTTTTCTCAGGAGCTCAGAAATCAGCAGCAGCTGTGAATTCAGCTTCTAACAGTCAGTCCCAATACAAAAAAAAACCTGCTGAGACTGCTACAGCACAGTGGCAGCATGTCAGCTGTCCTGTAATTTCATGCCACTATTTGCAAATAGTAATTAAAGCAAGAATAACTATAAAAGTATGTTTATGTTATTTTATTTCCTGAGCTGCAAGAAAGAGGAAAAATGTTTTCAAAACCTCCATTTCTTTGGAAGAATTACTTTTAACTGGCCTTTGAAAAAAAGACAATAGTTCAGTTCCTAAGTATTACTGAAACATATGAGAAATTATTTCTTATTYAACACTCACAGTGCTTTAGGCTTGTCCTTCTCATTCTCATACAAACTAGGTTTGAAGTAGGTTCCTGTGATTTTTATTCCAGACCCCCACTCTCCACTGAAGAGACCTTCAATATAATCTCCATTTGGCAAGGTCAGGGTTCCCTTCAGAAAAGATAATAAAAAAATTAACTAAAATCCACTGGGAATCAAATTACAACCTTTCAATTTTTTTAGATGGTACCAGTTTACAAGTGATAATTGYAATAATGACCTTTCCACTCAGAGTCCAATTATCTGAAAATTCCCCCTCATASACTGTATCATCCTCAGAAAGCAGAATTCCGGTCCCCTGCAAAAAGAACCATAAAGAACACAAAGCAGTAATTATAACAGAAGGGCTGACCAAAGATATAAAGATATGCTTTAGAAAAACCTGTTACTAATTCTTAGCAAATAGTAATTTTTAAGCTGTTTCTGAAGTAGTCAGATAAAACAGAGCAGGGATTATAAAAGCAGTTCTAAAAGCCTGGACTATAGTAGATCGGAAGAACAGAAGGTTTACATAGCCTAACACAAACATCTGCCTCAGAAAGCTGCCACACTTARAAGAAAAGTTCCTACAGTCCAGGGYCCAGTGTCCAACTCACCATCATTTTGTTGGTACTGAAGGCTCCTTCATAATAGAGTCCAAACTGAGTAACCACAACACCATTGCCTTGGCAAAGATCATCTTGCCACATCCCCATGTACTTTTCGCCTCTGAAGAAAAATGAAGTAGGAAAAAGAGTCTAAGTAGTACATTTATAGTGTGTCTTTGGCTTTACAGCTACATTTGACCATTACAGAAACCATCAGAAGAGTGTCACAGAGCACTTGCTTCAGGTCTATCTGCTCAGTTTCACCAGCTCCACTGAACAACCCAACCTTATAGGCCTGAGATGAAAGAATATTTCTTACATGACATTCATTACACTTTCAACACACAAACAAGACAACACCTCAATAAGACACTATATCCAGAGCTGGCTTTCAGGCAGAAACAGGGCAGAAAAGCAAGACACAAAAAACCAATGCAATTCTTCCACCACTTATTCCAGAAGCAGCATCAAAATGCAGTTTTTTAGACCATCAACCCAGAAAGCCCAGCAATAAAGAAGAAAAAAGAGACATGCTCTGTTACTGGTACTAACAAGTCAAATCCTTTCCCTACACTTTTTGCAACTGCATGCTGGACCAGAGTTTTAAGGATTTGTGGAAGCATTACCTTGTGATATCATCAAAAACTCCATAACCACTCTTCTTGTCCATTATCCACTGTCCAATGAACATACTGGGAGAAGAAGAGGTCAGCTTCCCACTGCGCAGCAGCCCATGCCCATGGCGCATGTTATCCTGAAAACACCCTTCATACACCTCCCCAGTGGCATAGCTGTAACAGCAACAACAAAAGAACAAATCAGAGTCCTATCATCTACTGCTCTTTGGGGGGGCTGGTTTTGGAGGTTTTGATTGGTTTTATTTTGTTGGTGCTTGCCCCCAAACAGCTATTTTTCCTTCTACAAATGGCATTACAACCACACCAAGCAGCAACTACAGTTAAAGTATGTTTAGGATAAAAGTGATCCTTTAATACAASTCTTTGGATGCTTTGTTGTTTCAAAGGCCTTCTCTGCCCAACAAGCAACGCCATTAGAGGTTATATTTATCTCTCAGAATAAAGAATCCTCTCTTACTGCAAGGTGGCACYAACATTACAACAGACATTATTAACAGACCACTGTAAAAGTCGCATTGTGAGCAACCTACCAAAAGCAAAGCAGAAAATAAGCCACGCTAACTACAACCACAAGTCTGCAATGCAACAAAGCTACACACAGAGGTTGGGTCAGAGCACCAGCCTTGCTCTCCCTTCCGCAATGACAGCCACACAAGTGTCACATGTTACCTGTACACTCCATGCCCACACATTTTGCCTTCCTTCCAGTACCCTGCATAATGGTCCTCTTTATTCAGTGCTTTGTTGGGCACTCTGTATTCACCATACCTGCCAGTGCACAGAGATGGAACACAAGCAGCTGTAACACCAATACATTTCATTAACAGAGCACATACACATCATGGATCCATTCTAAAATCAGAACGCTCTCTCATTTTTAGTGCATCTCTAACTACAGCAGCCACAGATGATATTTTTTTATTAGACAAA